CTCAACGCTCTCCGACACGATCTCAACGCTCTCCTAACTGCGACCCCTCATCTCCCTCATCTCCTTCTGCGACCCCTCTACGAATCTCAACGCTCTGCGAACTCAACCTCCTCCTGTCCGTCTACTCAAGGTTCAACCTCCTTCTGCTTCGGATTTTGAGGTAGGATTATCAAAAATTTCATTTTGGGTTGTATGGGTTTAGCTTCTTGATTATGTATTTGTGATGAATTTTGTATTAAAGAGTATTGTTCTCTTGCATCTTTGTTTTTTTTTTTTTTTGTAGAGTGTCCTCAAATACATTATGGTAAACCAATCGGATGATTTGAAAATCTTCCTCCAGAATGCAGCAAAATTTGCTCAGAACTCCTCTAGTGAGATGCTTAGGGTTAGGGTTGATGAGTTTGAGACCAGTGATGTTAATCATTTGGAGCAATTTTTAAGAGTTACCAAGTCTTTGGCTTCGAGTAAGAGTAAGAGTGAGAGTAAGAAGCGGAAAGCTACTTTTGGGGATGGGGATTCTTCCTCTCATCAGGAGGAATTGATCAGTTCTTCTACCCATGGAAATGTTTACTCCCACAACTTGATCGGTACTTCTACCCATGGAAATGTTTACTCGGAGAACTCAGATCAAATTCAATCCAAGCTGCAAAAAGTAAGTTACACTTTTCAATTATATGATTAGTCTTACTTTCTTTACATTCAATCTCTTTTATGTATGTATGTAGACGCTTAGAGTGTACATAGGAGAACAAATAGAGAAACACCTCAACAAGGTGACTCAGGAGATTGAAAGAGCAGAATCTGCAGCTGCTTTTACCGAAGAGAAACTGAGTGGGGGCCTTGCTCATCTAAAAGCAAGATTCAGCCTAATAGAAAGGGAAAGTGCTTCTCTCAAATCTGATCATGACTATTACTTCAAAACTACTATTGGAGCAACATAATTTGAGTGAAGAGATTGAATGGCTCAGATTGTTGGAGAAGAAAGTGGGGGGAGGCTGAGACGACAAACATGGCTTTCAAAGCAAGATTGACCTTTATGGAAAATGATGCAAAGCAACATCAAGATCTCATCCACAAATTTACTCAAGAGATTGAATGCCTAAAGGAGCTAGGTCATACCAAAGATACTCAAATATCCTCTTTGGAGAAGAAAGTGGGGGAGGCTGAGACACACATGACTGCTTTCAAAGCAAGATTAACCTTTATGGAAAAGGAAAATGCAAAACTATTCCACCAACATCAAGATCTCATCCACAAATTTACTCAAGAGATTGAATGCCGAAAGGAGCTAGGTCATACCAAGGATACTCAAATATCCTCTTTGGAGAAGAAAGTGGGGGAGGCTGAGACACACATGACTGCTTTCAAAGCAAGATTAACCTTTATGGAAAAGGAAAATGCAAAACTATTCCACCAACATCAAGATCTCATCAACAAATCTACTCAAGAGATTGAATGCCTAAAGCAGCTAGGTCATACCAAGGATACTCAAATATCCTCTTTGGAGAAGAAAGTGGAGGACGCTGAGACAGATTTCAAAGCAAGATTAACCTTTATGGAAAAGGAAAATGATTTTGTTAAAGCTGATGCTGAAAAACTATTAAACCTCATCAACAAACTTACTCAAGAGATTGAATGCCTAAAGAAGCTAGTTGATTCCAAGGATATTCAGAAATCCTCTTTGGAGAAGAAAGTTAGTGAGGGTGCCAGACAAGTGACTCATCCTTCTCTTAAGGCCGCTAGTTTGGAAGAATTAAAAGAAGATGGTGAACTCCTCAACAAAAGGTGGGAAGAGAAAGAAGTGATATGCAAAGGCAACAAACACTTGAAACTTCGGACAAATGTCTTTTTTGCTTCCATTGACCAGACAAGCACTATTGTAAAGGGTGAGAATGCATGTGCGGTTATTGTAGTGGTTCTTGCCGAATGGTTCCAAAAGAATGGTAATCTTATGCCTAATAGGTCTCAGTTCGAGGAATTGATCAAACAAGGTTCCTTGGAGTGGAGAGAGCTCTATGAAAACAGTACATACAAGAAGGAATTCCCTAACCATCAGTTTAATCTCGAAGTTGTGTTAGGAGCAAAGATCCGGGCTCTAACTCTTAACTCCGAGAAGTCTTTTGTCGGGTTTTTCTCTCCAGAGAATGTCAGCAATTTAGTTTCCAAGTTTGTTCCCACTGATGCTTCTTTCGATTGTATATGGGATATGATTACTAATGACTCTCCTCCGGGTGTTTACATTGTGGGCTGGAATCGTCACTTCTTTGTTCTCAAAGTGGAAGAAAAAGCTTGTTATATCATTGACTCCCTTGGAGAAAGGCTCTTCGAGAATTTTCATCAAGCTTACATTTTGAAGTTTGATGATAAAACCGTCATCCACAAGAATCTTCAACCAGAGGAGTCAAAATCAGAAATTGTGTGCCAAGGCAAAGATTCATGTAGAGAGTACATTAAGAGATTCTTGGCGGCTATACCACTTGAAAACTTGGAAAAGGATGTGAAAAAGATGATAAGAAAAAAAAACGAAAGATGAGGATATAGCCCAGCATGTTCATCATCTCCTACAGGTCGACTTTTGTTACACGGAGATAGCTGTCTGAAAAAGTTGGGCAAGAGAAAGTTTTGTAGTTGATATGATTCATTTATCATCTTTCATCTTTCTGTCTTTTTGGCCAGTGTATACATGGACATCTATACACATGGACTGGACAGTGCAACAAGGTGTATTATTTACACTATGTTATTAGATAATTGTTTTTGAACAAGGTGTATTATTTACACTGAGAGGGTATAGTATTATGAAAAATTTGCTACCTGATATTATACCAAATTTGCAATCTTTCAATTTAGATGAAATTATATTTTGAAAATTACACTATATTTTATTTTTGTTTGAAAACTAGTGATTAAATTTTATGATAATAAAAATAAAGAAAATATATGTGTTGATGCATTATATAATTTTTTATATCTAAATGTATTTTTCAACATTTCAAGTGTAATTAAAGGGTTATTAATGCCTCACCATCATGTAGTGTGTTTTTTTTATATAATGTTTTCTACACTTGCAAAACCATTTTTCAAAAAACCATCTTTGTAAACTTTTTAAATTTTTTTTAAAATATGTTTTTACATGATGCCCATGTGTACACTATGTCTTTGCACGATGTGTAAACTATCTTTGTCTTTTTTCACGGATGTCCATGTGTACACAATCTTTCTTGTATTAATTAAGTTTTGGCCAGTTTTAATTATAAATTCATAAGCAAATAATCTAAAGTAATAATTTTAGTTAAATATCTTCTCATTTATAGTGTTTCTTTAAACTTGGTTTCATTATTATTATTTTTTGTCTAAATAATATATCTGTATTTAAAAAATCTCAATAACAATTTTGAAATTTATATAGGAAAGCTCTTACATTTTACCGTTTACTTTACCAAATAAACTAAATAAAACAAAAAAACAAAATAAAAAAACATAATCTCATTGTTTATAAGTGAACACTGATCACATTGAACAAGACACATCAATATCAATCATTGATAACATAATCTATAACATAAAAGGCATAAACAGTTAATTTTATAGTATTTTGATAATTTTAAAACATATAATTATAAAAAACAAACATCCGCGCGAGCGCACGTTTTAAAAGCTAATCATAATTAAAACTAAATAAGTAGTTAAAATAAAGATCTATTTAAATTTATTATCAAACATCTTGAAGAAAAATAGTAAACGCAAATATTTAGTTATTATTCTAGGATACTAGCCAATAATAGAATGGAAGTTTGATTGTCTTATTCTACAAAGCATTTTGTCTTATCATAAATTATTGCTATTAATAATAAGTAATATCATTAAAATTTTCGAATTTTTAAAAAAACTTAGCTAAACGGATAATAAAACATCTATCTTATTTTGTATCTACATATTTCAAATTATATTTCAAAATAATATTAAAATAAATATTTTATTATTTTCAGTAAAAGAATAACAGTTGTATGCAAGATAATTTTACAATACATATATTTTCTTTAAAACAACTGTAAACATTATTTATAAAAGGTTATTTTATAAAATAAAACATATTTACTTTTATAAGAAATGAATTTCCGTATAATATCGCATGGACTCCTTATCCTCTATACAGTATTTGTGAAGTGATTTTGACATATGCCATATCTACATTCAATTTCACCAAAAAATAATGATATGACATATTAGAAATGATGACATGTCTTATGGCTAAATATAACTTGAATAACTATATTTAATATTGATTTCTGTTTTTGGTAAATTTTGTAGAATATTGTAATCAATCATACATCACTAAAATAGATATATTCAATAGGATTAAATAATATAATAATGGAAATATAAAATAATTTCTAAAAAATTATTATTTAAATATATCATAATCATATAATTTTTATTACTAAACAAGATTTTCAAAATTGTATTCATCTTTTTTAAAAAAAAATATATCATTTTTTTCTTTTTGATATCTATAAATTTTAGAAATCTTGTCTAATTTCACATTATAATTATAAAAATTTTATATAATCTAGTGATTTTTAATACAAGTTAATTTAATATATCTTAATCAAAATAAATAAATGAAAATATAAATTATAATTAAATATACATATTTATTCTTAAATATAATTTCAAATAATAATATTTTTTATTTTATTTTTATATTTAATTAAATCAATATTTATCGTAAACTATTTGTGTAAATAATAAATCTAAAATATTAAGAAAATGTTATTTTTAAATAGAATTAATTTTTTTTTTTATCATTGCACATGGTGCATGAAAACACAAAGTCTAGTTTAGACACAACTAGAATGATTTTTTGTTTATTAGACTGAAAACTTATCGAAATGAAGGTGGGAAGCCCATTAACCATACTGATGTGGCCTTATTAAAAAGAACATGAAGAAGGAGAAAAGATGTAGAGAGAGAGAGGAAGAAAAGTAGGGTTTACGACCATGATCCGAAGAAGTCTCCGTCTTTCCAACAAGAGGAGAAGCATCGTTGTTCCATTGGATCTGCAGATCGAGATTCTTAGCCGTTTGCCTTCAAAATCCGTAGTTAGGTTTATGCTCGTATCTAAATCATGGCGAGAAATCATTCTCAGCAAGAGTTTCGTCAGATTACAATCTTTGAAACAGCCTTTGCGTTTCCTACTCTGTTTTCGCGAGAAAGATGACCAAACTGGACGCCTAAGTTGCAGCTTGTTCTCTTCTTCTTCGCTGTCGTCGTCATCAACATCGATATCAACCACTTTTCTATCCAAAATAACTTTTCCTCTCCGTCGAGCCTCGAACCCTAGTTATTACGTCAACGGTCTGATCAACATGGGTGAGATCATATGTAACCCTTGCACCGGAAAGACCATATCTTTACCCACGCTTTCCAACGCAACAGCTGCTAGTAGACGAAGGCTAGCCTATCGCTTTTTCGGATATGATCCTGTCAATAATCAGTACAAAGTATTGTGCATCACCGAGTATCTTGACCCACACCCAAAACCGAATCACTACCAGGTATTCACATTGGGAGCTAATCCTAAAACATGGAGATTTATAGATTGTGACATTCTTCACACAACTTGGTCTGATGGTCTATGTATAGATGGGTTTGTGTACTACATTGCGAAGACGGACACAAGAATGATGTGTCTGATGAGATTCGATTTGAACTCTGAGAAGTTTGATATCTTTGCTAGATTTTCTGAGGAAATGAAATCTTTGTATATTCATCACGACGGTTCTAGAAAGTTGATAAACTACCATGGAAAAGTAGCCATAGCCATTCAGCCTTCTCACTCACTCAGTGCCTTCAATTGATTTGTTCATTTTCGAAGCAGGAAAACAGGAATACAAAGAGAAGTCTTTCCATAATCTTCCCCAGCTTTATTTACGTATAAAAGGTATTATTAATCATATGGGTGACATTATTTTTGCACCTAGATGTTGCGGTAGTGAGGCTAATTTTATCCACCACGATCTCAAGGGAGCTAGTTTTAAGAAGATGAAGTTTGAAGTTGACGCTAAGTATGATTGCTTTAATGAATCAAATTATTGCATGGGTTACGCAGAGAATTTTCTGCTGATTTAAGCTAGGTAGAGTTATTATTTCCTTCGTTTGTCGTGGGATGTTGCCACTATCGTTGATGACGTTTGTTTCAACATGTAAACGCGACATGTTATTTCTAATAAGCTTTGCATTGTGCAATGCACAAGAAAGTAAAAAAAAAAAAAAACATGGTGTCCAATGGCTTTGTCCAGGCCACTACAGCATATGTCACATTACCCAATAGGTCGTTACTGAAGCATGTCTTTGCAACATTTTCACTGAGAGTAGAGACCACCACCTCTTCCTTCGCTGTGAATGGAGCCAAGAACTTTGGAGCCACTCTCTCAGGCGGATGGGGTACAAATTCTTAGGCTTTTACACATGGAATGCTTTCTCTGACTGGCTGATTTTACGTGACGCTAAAAGACTTCATGACAGCACCTCATCACCTTCTGCAACCATCTCAAACTGTTGGACGTTTCAATCGGGACGTGATTTTAGCCAAGACAAACCAGAAACGAAATGCTTAGCTTATACCTCACAGCTTTGTTATCATTGTCCAAGTTCTATTTGTTTTTTTTTGTTTGTCTAAGCTTTGCCTTGTTATTTGTTTTGGCCAAGATTAACTCTATCAACGGAAAGGGCATAGATATACCAAGGCTTGTCGAAGCAAAATACGGTAGTAGAGCTTTCTATTTGTCATTCAAATACGTTTTGAATAAAACTAATAGAAACAGTAATTTATAAATAAGCTAATGATAAAAGAAAAAGAGATCAAGTGGATGAACCAACCAATGAAAATCCTTATAAATAAGCTAATGATAAAAGAAAAAGAAAAAAAACTCAGAAATTGAAAAGAAGCAAATGAGAAAAGTTACGCTAAAAGAAGAAACACACTCACGGAGAAAGCTGAGGGAGCGGGTTAAACCAGCGTGGGAGTACATACTGTGAAAAGTAGAGCGTGTGATTACCACCGCGCAATTCGTTTATAAAAACTTCATAGACGGAGTCCATACACTCTTTGCAACCCCTAAGTGTCATGATGCAACCATCTATAGACTTGTTCTCGGACTCTTCTTTATGAAGACTAAATTTGTGAGTCCTCAAGTTTAACGAGACCAGGGCGTTCTTGTTCCTACTCCACAGGTATATGATCTCAGAGATGAAAGGATGCATCACAACAGGGAAATAATCAGCACCAAACCCGACCAAAGAAGACTTGGTGTCGAGTTTCCAGGATAGTTGCCATGCCCGAGGATCATCATCTGTATAGTTGACCAGCCTCCAAACCCTGAGTACGCTTCCCCTATTGAAAACGTTACAATACATTACAAATCCTGCGGAGGAAGTGATTGTTCTCTTGAAACGTTGCTTACCTCCAAATTGCTGGATACCAGGAAAAGGTCTAATACGACACTCAAGATTATCATGGCAGAAATCACACGATACAACATAGTTTGCGTCCAGGCTGTTACCAACTGCAGCAAGCCAGTGGAGGATCCCATTCAAAGGAACCGAATACTTTAGTCTAGACCACATTAAAGGACGGAGACAACGAACCTTTTCCGTTTTCCACAATCCTGATTTAGAGCAATATATCATAAACGTGAGCTCCTTAGATGCCCAAACTGATGCCAAAACCCAGACAACCTTGTAACCCACAACAATACCCCTT